AATTCCAACTGGTTTAGTAAATTATCTCTTCCAGTCAGTTAGTGATAAGTACCGTTGAACCTCACATACATGTGCATTGATACAAGTTCCCATATCATATCAGTAAAGTGAGACGAAATCATCAAGAAAAATACCAGAATTGTAGAGTTGGTGAGATCAGTGTTAGTAAAAAGCGTTAGATGTAGCCTATATGACTCGTGAGGAAGGAATGAGTTCGTGGTATAAAAAATATGCGAACACTTTGGGACTCAGAATCTGAGGTACGATAGAGAACGAGTGAGAACGATTCTGAGCTATGTCACCTAGTCTTCAGCCACTGGTTGCGCAAAATATTGACACCAGCTAGGTGGACTGAATTTTCTAACACAGTTTCATTATATGGTTGTGGACAGGCATTTGAAATCTTGAAAACTCCTAGCAGGTGTTATCTATCAGATACTGACCATCCACTCCATTTATATCTTTCCGCTTGTATATTTTTTCTGGTAGACGAGACGTCAAGGCATTAGAATGCATGCACTCAAGCAAAGGTATAAAAGCTTTATAGCAACTTATTTGGTAAATATACTATGTGATGGACAGGTTGTCAGAGCTGACTTAGTCAATAACTCGTATTCTTAAACAGGTTTATAATTAAAAAGCTATACAGATTCAAATCTTCTTAAAGACCATTTCATTCAGTTATCGTCTTTCGTTTTGTAAAAGAAACATTGAAATACTTTGTGTTGAGAATTCTATATTGTAATAGACATATTGAATAAAGGCATTAATAATAATAATAATAATAATAATAAGTAATAATACCTTAGTTTAACAATCGATGACTTCATAGGCTAATTCCACATCTTAGTTTGGGCGCTCCAAGCTTTTTCCAACCTAATCTTACACCAGGAAACATTGAGCAAGGTAGAGGGTGGTAAAATAAAGGTCTTTTAAAACATAGTGAGAAGTATTTTAGCTGATATCAGTGTGATAAAAATTACCCTTAAATAATGCCTAGAAAGTAATTTCTAAAAAACCACATGAATAATTAATAGTTATGTACTCACATTGATCACCAAGTGACTTGATAACGAATTTCCTAGAATTTAAATAGAAAACTGTGATCACTTATTAGACTAAGTTAAAAGTGCGGTAGTAAATTATTGATGATAACTGACTAAGAGATAGTGGTGAAATGAAATAAAAATTACTAATCATTTGAACAACAACTATTCAGTAAAAAAAACTCTGGTTCAATCTCATTTAAAAACAATCAGTAAGTCTCCTAAGAGGGAAAGTTCTGAAAGCGTAAATGATGATTATATAATATCATTGTTGAGATATTAAAACTGATGAGAACGATATTGCACTATGAGTCTTTGGAAATACATTTTGAACCAAAAAACTTTGTTAATTTGAATAAATAAGTACGAAATAAGTGACTAGTTAATTTAATAATATAAATTAATCCACTAATACTGCGCACAATTCAATCTTCAACTTCCAGAAATGATCGTTGAACTTTTATTTAAACTTCAATGTACCAATTTCACTGAGATTAACCTGTTGAGCGCGTAATAATTTGTGTTGGTTCAACAGATATATGGAATAAATTACAGAAAGATTTTTCTGTGCTTTAAGATATGTCTTTGCTGAAATCTGTAATTTTCTTAAAAGACCTGATTACATGTCAGATTGCACTATACTGGCTATGTCTTTAGGCAGCTTCTTTCATGTTTTGGAAATTTTTAGGATAGAGTGATTAAGTACGATCCTATTCATAGGTCAAAAGTCAACTGTCCTATCTAAATAGTCAGTCACAACGTGTAACCTGTACGAATGTAAATCGTTTCAAGTTAACATAACCGGTTAGCACATGGAGATGGAATTGTCAGGCCAAATCCCAGAATAGTAGAAGTGGTAACGAAATCACTAGTAATATGAAAGCTTAGGCCTCGAAGGTACGACTGAAGAAGAAAATATAAGTTAGCAAAATAAATTCAAAAATAGTTATGAGGAATCTAGAATGTGGGGGAAGACAAAGAATGGATGCCTTGCGCTAATGCAAACGAATCTTAGTCATGCCATGTAATGTCTAACAACCGTTTACGAAAATCACGTGGACTTCAGCCAAGTAGCCTACACCTATTAACATGGCTCAGTCCAATTGCCACTGACCTCCTGGACTGATGGCATGTTTTGGCTCAGTCGCTCCTAGCTCTCTTGCAGCCTACTCCTATACCAGAAAACATATCCCACTGAAATAGGCGATGGTTGGGCATACGTATCAAATGTCCCGAACACCTCAGTTGATGAAGACTTACAACTTCATCAATCGATTTACCATCCTTACCTAGTACTCTATTCTTAACTCAGTCACTGGTTACTCTGTAGTCCCAAAATGCACAAGCAGTAGTCCGAAAACCCATGACCGAATACCAGTATCCCACGAATATCCTCTGTTCTTAACGGCCATCTTTCAAATCCATAGAGTAGGACGGATTGAACTACTGCCGCAGCAAAATAGTCCTTTGGTTGGTAGACGGATATCTCGCCTACGCCACAAGTGACGCAAGTTTGTAAAAGCCAACCAGGCCTTCTGCATATGTCTAGATTTCATCACACCAGACCAACAAGACTGTTGAGACTCGAGGTAAGTGAAGTGGCCTATACATTCAACTAATTCACTAACTATCACTAGTTCAGACGATGGCGCAAGCCAATCTTAAAGAAACATTTTGCATTTAGAGGGAGAAAACCGTATCCTAAACATGCTTGGATATTTCTTTAAGGTGGTCAGAAGACTGGATTTTGTCAGCGTCTTCTCCAAACAGAAATGTATCATCTGCGTATCTTAAGTCAACAATTGAATCTCCTGGTAGATCAACTTCTGAAAAGTCAGTTCTGAACATCACCTGTTTTTGTGCTTGTGTGCGTTTGAATGCATTAATTATGCTATGAGCTATAGCACACCATATATTGAATTTACATTTTGTGGGTAATTCTTTCAAAAACATTGAAATCTCTTAACAACTGACGAAAATTTCGGGATTACAAAATAAAGTTTACAAATGAAAACAATTCTACAAAAATGTCACAGTCCGCGACCAAAATCAATGTTTGAGTTTCACACCACAACATAATTAATGAGAAACTGGTTAGTAAGTTGGAGGATAATATTTCGGGTCTTTAAGGTTCATGGAGATTTTTTGTGCCATAAAAAGCGGCTAACCCAGTAGACTGAAAGCGAGTACAAAATTATAAACGCAGAAGAAACAAGCAAACTTCAACAAATTGAGAGTATCAAAATGAATTAACGAAAAAAAGAGGAGTTTGACACATGATTCATAAGTATGACGGGAATTACCTCCAAAGAGAGATAAACATTAAAACACAAGTATATGAAGGGGTTTTTTCAGAGATAAATACGTCAATTTGACTAACTTGGCTTTCTAAGCGGGCCTAGCTAAAGACGACAATCGTTGGGCTGAAATCACAGCTTTCGGAAAAAACAAGCAGGTTAACAAGCTTAGACTAAAACTCATTCGGATAATAAACTGTTCCTCACTAGTCAACAAATAGTGAATACGCGCGCAGAAAGCTAAGCGGACAATATTTATTTTTTCTATATTCAATCTTGTTCATTGAAACGTGTACAGACGAAATTCCTAGGTTGTATCTCCAATACTTCTCAAGACGAGTTCAAATAAAAGATGTATAGTATGCCAGTTGTAAGCAGCAGAAACCAAATTGGTTGTTCACATGACAACAGAACAAACAAACATGATGATTATGATTTATTCACTAGGTTGTTATGTAATAAACTACCAATAACAACAACAGCTAGTATTGATGTAAATTGTATAAAAGAAAAACGAATAATAATTTTTTAAAAAGCAAGGAAAAAAACGGTAGAATACTTTAAACTATCCAAACCATGTCATCCATTTTGTCATAGAGGGATTCAGCAAAAAAATCTTAAATTAATGGGACAACATGATAGTATAATACCAAACAAAATAATTTTGATTGAAACTAACTTAAAAGCTAGTAAATTATAGTCCAACTCCAGTGAATTATTGATGATATATATATATATACTATGTACGTATAAATACGATATTTCTAACCACATCATTTTACTTATTAATGACCAGCAAAGTAGAATAGTTAATTAAGCATCTAATATTAATCACCATCCAGTGTATAACTACTCATTTCAAGTATGACTACAAACAATAACACCATACATTCTACTCTTATTATGATGGCTAATAGTACTAACTAATTGTATTGATTGAAATATGGGAATGGATCAAACGTCATCGAATTCATAGCTGCAATATTTACGCTTCCAAATGAACTAAATGAATAAATGAAAACAAACAAACAGTAAAAATAACAAATGCAAAGAACTTTATCACCATTATCATAGAGAACATCAAAATGAACAACCTAGAGAAATTATCAAATATTAATTGTTTCTTCTGTTTTATTTCATATATTAATCCACATAAAAATAGAAAAAAAAGGAAAAAACGACATACGAGAGTAAAGGAAGGAAAGATCAGAAATAAATTGTAATATTCTATCAAATAAGAAGTAATAATAGTTGTCATAGTAGTCTTAATAACGATAACATCTGGGTAATACACATACATAATTACATAAAGGCATACAGACAAAAACATACGGATAGACAGACAAAGATGTACACTAAAAACAGATTAAAACACAGTACACAATTTGTCAATGCACATGTATTAATTGACTAATATGTGGTCTCGATGATTTGAGATGAACAAGTGAGCAAGAAAGAGAATAAAACAATGTTATATGATCTCTTTTGTTTTATATGTGCATGAAATAAATAAATAAATATCATTTATTTTGGTTTACACTGACTATCACCAATTAACAACAATGGTGTACGTATGAAAATGAATATGTGTAGTGATAACTGATCCCAGGCACAATTAGGAGATTAATCAATAATTGATTCATGAAGAAATGTCCAATTAAAACAATGATGTTTCATTGTTTTCAAAATGATGTTGAGACGAAGAGGGATACGAAGAGAAAGAGGGGGAATACGAAGGAGAAGTTGGCAACGACAATGGAGGTGATCGTAATTTCTCAAAACCTTTGGATTTTATTCTATTAGAATTAAAAGACGGTGGCGTTCCACTATTTACTTCATTCGAACCTATCATATGATCATCAGGCAAAATTGGTTTTCCTTCTCTTGAATGCTCCATCATCAGTGGTTCCGATAATAAATGCGATGTGTTATCCATCACAAGATGATGAGATGAATGTTCACTTTGTTCAACTTTATTTCTACAGAATACAGAAAAACAAAACAATTAAGACACAAGAAAATGAAGAAATTCATCATATTCGATAACACAAATAGACAAGAGAAGGTAGACGAAGTGGTAATAAATTTTGATATTAAGAAACCATACTGAAGAATATTTTATAGTCATGATGTCAATTCACTATCAATTAATTTGAAGATCTCTTAATTGACTGACTCTAAGGTGACAAGTATTGATAATATTCCATCGTAACGAATATTCATGAATAAGTTTAGTAATACGCTTATTATATAAAATCATTAAATTTAAGTCTACGCTAAACGGTTCTATCTGGTTCCTAAAATTTCTAATCTATGGCAAAAAATAATGGTCTTAGAGAATTCTTAAAAATGAACTGTAGAAATCTGTATAAAGGCTATACACACACATGCGCGTGTTTATTTTATCAAAATTTATTAATCCTGTCAAGATTACAAAACTCGGAAATATTTCAAAAAAAGTAGATATCATTCACAAAATTAATTAGTTGATGGGGGTTTAGTGATTGCATAAGCTACCATTATACTGACACTTGAATAGAAAAAAACATGGACATGCTTAGAAGATAAAAAAAGATTCATTATTGATATTTCAAAGCGAAAATAGTACCACAAAGAACCATGTAGATAAAAGGTTCGCTACGTTTTAGTCAAGTAGTGGAATATATTTCACAAAGTATATAAGATATTTTTCAAAAGGGAATATATTTTAACTCAATAAGGCGCAAATAAGATACAAAACAACTTGTTTTTGAAAATTACATACTACACGAAGGAATGGAGAGAAAGGCTTCATGAAAACTTATTACTTCTGACAATTGTCCGAAGAATTGTTGACATTTAGGAACAACAGTATATTTTTGATGCCGAGGTTCAGCATCGTTGTTATATCGAGAGCTTAGATTCTTAATATACAGCATATAAACTTGAGCACTCAAACGCTAGAACCCTCTAAGTCACAAATAAGACAGAAGATTGGAGAAAGTGCTTGTTGGGCAAGAATCAAAATGTACAGGAAATCATGGGTATTTATAGATATTAGCGTTTGTTACATCAACACTATAATTCAACCAATCTGTTGCTGACCAATAGTAGCATGCCATGTTGATACTCGAGAAAGCTGTATTGCATTCTGATTGGATGGAACTCTGCGGCTCCTCTAGGACGTCTGGAGGCTCCGTCGTAGTTCTCGGAAGCCGTCCCAACAACCGTGTGTTCAGGTGTGGCGACGACCACACAAATGTTGTCACCTTTCGAAACAATAACTTCAGTAGCTTAGATATTATTTGGCGATGATGGGATCAAACGCGAAAACCAGAGGTGGTGAGTTTGTTACATAGTGCCGTAGTATGAAACAAATATTTATAAGACTGGCATCTGTCCGTCCATTAATACTTCCTGGTGATGAACGAGAGATGGTATGACTCAGTGGCTTACGAGTTCATCAGACATGGGTTAGAACAGAAACTAATGACGGTATTGCTGTAGTTTTTACATTGTTCATAACAGTGATATGAATTCCTTCAAAAGAAGAATCTTTCTCTGGTTATTTTTCCTACTATTAGCCCTTTCGTTCACTTACTTTTATTCATTTCTTTGTTTTTAATTAAACTCATTCCCTCTTTTTAGATCTGTTCGCAGGCTAATTTCTTTATTTGTATGATGCATATTTATTTTAGTACCCATTCATAACAATATTTATGTCTTATTATTATTTTATTATTATTAATGGCTTTATTCAATATTATATTTTGGTACAATATAGAATTCTCAGCACAGCGTATTTCAACAAGTTACTTACACAACAAAAAAACACAGTAACAAATACAAAAAAATATAAAAGGTTTTAAAAAAAACCCGAAAAACTGTACAACTTTTCAAATTAGAGACATGTTAAGAATGCAGGTTATTGATTAGGTTAACTCTGACAACCTGTTCGTCACAGAGTATATTTGCTAGGTAAGAAAGGTATTATACAACTTTTATACTTTTGCTTGCGTGCATGGATTTTAGCGTAATTACGTCTCGTTCTACCAGAAGATATACAAGGAGAAACATAAGAGTGAAGGAGATGGTTAGTATCTGATAAAATAACACCTACCAGGAGTTTGCATGACTTTAGATGTCTATCTACAACCATATTAATTATGACCTCGAAAGATTCACCACACGTCTTGCTAACTGCCTTCAGCACTCTCAGTAATACAGCAGTCTTTTCTCAAAAGTCCGGGAAAGAATAATGGAGAATAATAGGTAATATGCAAGAATTGACAAATTGTAAAAGTAAATGACGAGTAATCCCAAGAGCACGCAATCTCTTTACGTAGTAAGTCAGACGGAAAACCTTCTTCGATAACAATAGAACGTGAGAAGACCAAGACAGATCAGAGGAAAAGGTAACACCAAGATAACTGACCTTCGACACTGTGTTTATCAAAGAGTCTGCAATGGCACAAGCATTATGGGATCTCAAAATGATGCTTAGATGCCTTTCATGTCTCATGCTAAAGTTAACAACCTGACATTTAGACGGATTAAGTACGAGACCATTGCCAACAGATCAACAATCAATACGAGACAAAAACTCATTCATTCCTATGGGATATAAAGAGGAAGAGATAGGCATACATACAGTGAGATCATCCGCATATTTCACAAAAGTGTTTTCTGTGGAAGATGGCAGATCATGCAGAAAAAAGAGAAAAGAAGAGGTGAAAGAACAGCTCCTTGTGGTACACCTTCATGAGACAGGAGAGACGCTGAACACTTTCCTCCAAATACAGTGTACTGTTCCCTTTCAGAGAGGCAGGAACATAGCCAGTTGGTTATCCAGCTGTCAGTGTTGACGCTGATTAACTTGTTAAGTAAACGTTGTCTCTTTATAGAATCAAAAGCTGAAATATAGTCCAAAAAAGCCCATCGAACATACTTCCTACCCTTTTCTAAGTTGAACACTATATTGTGATGCAGAACAGCAACAGTATCTAAGGTGTTTCATTTGCATCTGTAGGCAAACTGATATGGATCAATATGCTCTCTTATCACAGGCTGAAATGGAAGTATTAATAATTTTCCCATTGTTTTGAGGAAGGGTGAAGTTATTGCAATAGGTCTAAATTTCACCTTTTTATCACCAGATACTTTCTTCCGTACAGGGATTATCTACATCTTTCTCCACATTTTCGGTAGGAGATTAGATGAGAAGGATCGGTTAAAGATAGTCGTGAATGGATAACATGGGACATCAGCACATTTTTTAAAAAGGATGTTCGAGATACCATCAGGTCCTAAACATCAGGATGAATTAAGTAACTGGATACATCTTAGGACATCAGTTTCAGTGGAACGAGGAACACAGCTATTCTTTAAACCTGTGGATGAAGGGAGCATTACATCAGATGACTGACGTACAAAAGACTTATTTAAGTCACAAACATTCAGCTGGTTATAGCTTCTAAACTGTCTGTCATCTGTAAGTTCTTTAAAGACTTTCCACATATTGAAAAGAGCAAGAACGCTCCGTAGTCGTTTCTATTGTGAAGGTGTGAGTCGATCGAAACTTACAAAAATGGTTTCAGTGGGACAACAAATATCAAAACAGAATTTAAGGTAACAAGTGATAAAATCAGTAGTGATTTCCAGTGAGTCATCTGTAAATAATCCACAGTTAGTCGTATGAAACATGTTTTGCAGATTTCGGATATTTTCTTCTGAGTAATTCCTATATTTGACTTTCTTGGTTTGATGTAAGAGTGTACACTTCCCATGCTTTCCATATACTTTAGGTAGAACACGAATCATAGTGATCCGAGCTAGACAATGCAGCACGTTTACGAGTCACATATATACCCACATCATTAATGAAAACGAAGTCTAAATGAGCATCCAAACGAGTAGGAAAATTTAATACATTTTGGCGACCTACTGACGAAAGGAAGCTACAGTCACATGAATTGAAATCACCACATACAACTGAAAGTGGATCATTGAAGGCAGTAACAGCGAACCCAGTGAATTCATCAGCGAAAACAGATAGCTCAGATGATGTGCAGTCTGGAGTCACGTAGATATTGGTGACATAAACATATTTGCATTTATTTAGATGTTTTGGACGTCATCTTAGAGTTAAACAGTCGATAAAGTCATTTGAGAACTTGAAACACGCAAACGAAGATCGACACCAGTTCACGTTTACAAACGTAGCTACACCGCCACCACATCTCTTTTTATTGTTTGATCGATCCTGACGATAAATTTTGAAATCACGTAGTGATACTAGGCAGTCGTCCTGTAAATCATTTAACCAAGATTCTTGAATAGTGATGACATCACAATTACGATACATATTTTGAATTAGTAGGAATCAAAGATAGTCCACTTTGTTGATTAGTGATCGGCAGTTAGAATTTAGCAGCTCAGGAATCCACATACGATTAATGTTCATTCTCTTTAACGCATACTGCCAACCACCACAATGTCTTTTATAGTACTTTTTTGTAACTTGTGCAGCGAAAGGTCGTAGGCTTTTCATAAACACACTTGTATAGGTTATGCGATTAATGGACATAATGAGACGTTAAAAAAATGATAAAAAACACAGAAAACTTGTTGAAATAATTAGATGGCAGAAACAGGTAACCCAGATATTCAAGCAGTCCGCCGTTAATAAAAGTGGCAATGATTTAGTGCTTAGTTATAGCACTCAGTTTCCAACAAGTAGGTCACAGGTTCGAACTTCACTCCCAACCTATATTAATTTAAGCATGCAAACAGTATGCATTACTTTTGCCCACACAAAAACAGTGTGGCTCACAGTTGAATATATAAACATGTACTCGGTAAATATGTAATTCTTAACTTTCATAAAACACAGATTTGTTTAGTTTACCAAATAAATGATTTAACTGAGGTATGATTTACATACTTCAAATAACTATATTATTTGAAATCTGTATCAATAACTTTGAATGACGAAATCTTTGAGATCAAATCATTTGATCTTCATTTATTGTAAAATTATCATATGTAACATTCACAACCAACTTACTTTTGTTCAGAAACGACCCATACTGAAATCGGACAAGAAACGACGAAAGAAATCCGTTAATAATATACATATCAGCAAAATACATTAGTAAATATAAACAAAGATCACAACAACAATGACAGTAACTATAAAGAAGATACACGATCAACTTTATTAATATTCTTTTTTTTAAAGATACCACTTCAAAAGAATAATTAGTGAATAATATAAGCACAAAAGTTAAATTGATTTGAGGAGGCTGATCAAATAATAATAATAATAATAACAATGGTAATAATAATAATAATAATAATAATAATAATAATAATAATAATAAGAAGAAGAAGAAGAAGAAGAAGAGGTAGAATCAAGACCACATGTATGCATTCATAATCAGAAAAAAAAAGCCATCAATATGTACATATTCCGCGAGCAAACAATCATTTTTAATAAAACATTGAAAAGAATCTTAATGACGTCCAAAAATTAACAGAAACAAATCTATAGGGTGAATGCATTTTTTTTATGTATGACACACACACACACACATAATTCCCACTATAAATGTGTTGATGTATAACGGCTACAACAAAGAATCAAGTATATAGAGAAGACACTGAAGTATTTCTTAGTACAAAAATTATCATGCAGTAAAAATATATGAAAGTGTGTAAGCAAACGATATGCACATACAGATATATCAAAAATGAGAGTGATGTAACTCAATCATAAATCTTCTATCTAACAAACAAGATATCTAGGTGCAAAGGTTTTAAAAGAGAAATGGAAATAAATGAAATGTTAAGGACTGATTATGGAAACAATATATTGAAAATAGCTGTATCCAAATGGACCAAGAATCCGAATGTTATGACGTTTTTGCTGTTAACGTGTTATGTGACTAAGACAGAGGATGAATATATCTGAGTCGCTTGTAATTGATTTGCGCCATGTTACTACTTATGAACGTTATCGTGTGAAGTCAACCAAGTATTCCTCCTTCTAGAAATACAACTAGGGACTTTAAGAGGTGATATGACATCTTTGATCTCTCTCAGATTTCCTATAATCTATTCTTACATCAACCAGGAGCACTTCAATATATAGTGATTAACGACAAAAAATTGGGAAACGTTATAAAACGAACTGTTAAAATTATTATTGTTGTTCTATGAAAACTGGTATATGGGAATAATTCAGTGGAATTTTTAGGTATCAACTTTTGCAGTCATGAAGATTGGAGCTTTAAATTCTAAACTAAGCAACGTGTTTTTTTATAAAAGAAATCAACAGTCTAATAAATTTTTATCACTCAAGACATATTACTGCTTGCACGTCCTAATGTTCCACTATTTTATCCTATCCATTGTATTTTAGTGTTTTTATTTTTGTTACATATGTCGGATTGAACTGAGTTTCTGCTCTGTCCTATTTGTTTACAATGAATTACATCTGTTAGCGAGATATAGATTTGATTAAAGCGTATTCCGTGCAGGATTATGTTAGAGCACGCTGATTGTCCCTTTCGTGATCAATCAGCGCTAGCGGGGACTTGGAGAAGACTCTAGAATCTTCTTATGGAGAAATTATAAATATACTAACATTTTTCTCACTGTGATTCTTACTTCCACCCACCCTTGTTATTTGGAATATGATCGCGTCCCTGTTCAACCGTATTATGGTTTGGGGACTTGTCGAGTGAAGTAGTGTACAAGAATATTAAGCAATAAGAGTAGCTCAGTCGGAATAAGAGGAACCATAACAACATCATGAACACATTTTTGAATGAATAAGTCAATCAATACAACTAAAGTTGAGTTCATGATTAAAAGAAAGAAGCCAAAAGACTACAAGTATATTTACTAGACATCCTGTCTGCATTGAGTGCATATCATAAAACGTTGTCTATATTTGAAAGAGTTGTAAAAACATTGAAAATATCCTTGAAATATGAGATGACGGTTAACTTGGGTGTTAGTGCATAGAAAGATAACAAAGAGGATACATTTGAATTTTCATCATTACTCATCAAGTTGACCCTCGTCGACAACCTGAATACTACTGAAGAAGCTTTGAAATTATATTTCTGTTACTTAAGTTAGATCTGCATATTCAATAATTTTGGCTGGAATGATTGATTTAATATATAATATGGTAAATACATTACTCATCAAGATTGAAATACTTACAGAACTGAATATTGATTACGGGTTATAAAGACGTATGATGCAGGTAGTTAGAAAAATAAAGCTTATATGAACAAAACATAGTAGATTATTTATCAGTTGTAATGTTAAACGCATTTACCTTAAAGATAAGGATTTTAATTCGACCTATATAACATTTTTTGCTAGTCTCATCCTTTTAAATATTGTTTCGAAAAATTACCAAAGCCTAGTCACTGATAATCAGTTGATTCTTAGATTGATGTCCTATTGTTCACACGAAAGTAGATCGATACAAATATTTAGCTAAAAACTCGTAAAAATAGAGTAAAATTGATAGGAACTGATAAAGAAATCAGTTAATTATTTCAAGATTTTAATATAACCATAGTGTTTGTGACGAATACCCTTGAAGAATATGTGCAATTATCGTCAATTAATATAAAATTGGGAGTTGCCAAAAACCCTAGAACGCTAGACACTCATTCACTACTAGATTGGGAATTTCTCAGGGATGAATATTCATAGTCTTTAATAAGTATCAAACCGTGAAGTCAGAATACACCGATCACTATTCCTAAATTTAGTCCATTCATCATATAGTATACCCATAATGTAGTGTAATCAATAAACAACTGTCGCACTCTTCAATTGGTTGACCCTACAAATACTACTTACCCATAAGAACTTTGGAAAATCCACATTAATCTACATTAATTTACTACGAAAATTATAAAATATGGATTGAAGAGCACAATTTCAAACTAATTAGAATAAACAAAATCACAAAACCATAAAATGTTAAAAAAATGAAAACAACTTTTACCTATAAAAATAAACATTATTTGTGAGTTAAGATTATGCTCATAGTAAATTACAAATTATTGACTTATGGTTAAGACTAGATGACTATTGTGTATACAACAAAAAGAAATAACTAGAATAGAAGATAATAAAAAATCGGTTCTAACTAGAATTATCAACAGCACTTGATATTATGGATCATTAATAAACATCTCTTAGAGGCTTTAATGCACAACACAACAGTTCAACAACAACATTTACAACATATACACAAGGAAATTACATTTAAAGTAGATGCATACATGCACACTAACAACATACATACAAATCATGGTAGTAGTAAATATAATCTCACCAATTAATACGATAATTAAAATAACTACTAGTACACCCAATACTGCTAGCATCTAAATCAGATTGAAAATATAAGAAATAATGAAAACAATTTTTACTAAGCAATCAATCACTGATAAGTAATTAATAAATAGGAGTCTCTGGACAATGTTTCAGTTTTTTTTTAGAAAAAAGGAGATTGTTAGACCAAAGTAGGGGAATACAAAGATAGATTAGGTGTGTATTAAAACTAATTTAAGAATAAAGATGTTTTTGGAAATTAACTTAAAAACTGAATTTTAAACAAAATAAATGTTAGTGAAACTTTAATAAATCATAGCTATTATGAGAAAAGAAAAGTAGTGGTAGGAGACTGACTATTAACAGTCATACTGATTTGGAAATATTACATTTCACTCTCATGACTGATGAAAATTACCAAAAATCTCAATGAATTTACTTTAAATCAAGTTCCGAATCCAGTTGTTGTAAAGAAAAGGTAGTTTGAATAAAATATTTTGATAAAACTGTTTTACAGTCATTTTGTCATCCCCAGTGTATTCTTTTAGTAAAGTAGACAAGAATTCATAGGAATAGCTTAAATTAAAGGGAACTAACTATTTTTGGTGCATCTTTCAGCATATGGCTAAACTTATAGGTTCGATAGCCAAACACTAAACATAAGTCGCATAAACATTGATATATTTCAATCCGGCATTTCCACACGATTTTTCGATGCTAACGTTAATTCAGTTATTACTTTTGATCACTTTGAGTAGTTTTATAAGTTGAACTTCTTGCTTGTTTTGGATTATCTTTCTTAGTATGAAGGGGTTGTGATGATTGGTGAATTTTGAAGTGTTACATTATGAACTGATCTTAGATAACTACTGAAAACCGGAAAACACTGGGGAGCTGTTTTTTTAGTATGGGGTTAATTGAAAATGACCATTTACAACCCCATCAGCTACCAAACCCAGGATTCGGGTCTCGTGGCAAGCGCTTGAAATCAAATTATTGAGTTTTCATCTAGTGCTCCACATTTGTAACTTCAGTCATTCGCCATATTGTGTAACTACCACCCAATGATATTTGTTTCACGCTTAGCATGGTTGGACTTCACTAACTATGAGTCCTTTAGATTATGTTGAAATAGTTTTAGACAGAAGCACAACTTCTGGTAATACAAAAAACTCGAATTTTACTAATCTGATCAATTCTAAAGCGCGTGAAAGTCTGTTTTGGGATGCATTATTTTCTTTGTAAAATATTATGAGTAAATCTTTATCTGGTATTTTACCAATTAAAATAATCATTGCTATGTTGTAAGCTTTGTTGGCACTTAACAGTAAGTTCACTTTTCTACAACTCCTATATCCCTTGATTGAAAGAAATCTTAAATCAACAAGTGATATGTGTTACAATATTTGTTTTTGATTTGTCAATATGATGCTTGAATAACACCGCTCTTTTATCACTATCTCATTTAATATTAATTTTTCCCTAGTATTTCAAAGTGAAGCAGTAGCTCAGTGGTTAAGGTGTTTGACCTGCGGCCACTAAGTTGCACGTTCTGACCCCGATCTACCCGGATCAGGCAACCGGGTAGTCACTAGTTCTCCTGCGTAAACTATGGCTTAAAGCCAAGCGTATAAATCCGTACCTAGTAAATAATAACAGTAAAGTATTCCGGAAGACTTAGTGAATTTCGACATTTCATTTACATAATTGACTATAATTAAATTAATCCTCCCATACACATCGGATTCGAAATTCCATTCCTTACTTCATTCATGTTATGTTCCGTTAACAAATAATAATTTATACAAATATCAATTAATATATTGTTTACAAAATGAAAGGAGAGAAATGTAGTGAATTAGTGAGTATGAATAAAGTATAACATAGGGATCTCAGTTGCAAACACCTTATGTACCAATCTACACTACTAACTACTTATTAACTGAGAATCAATTTAATTTTATTCTACGTAATAAATTTTACCATGACTATTTTTTTTAAATAAAATATATTTAAAAACGTAAATTTAGTTTCCTTTTCCTCACTAAAACACTACAAACACACTATGTCACTTACTTTGCAATTTTTCCACCAAAATTTTCTTTTCAGTTTACCAGCACTAGCTTCGAATTGAGAAGCACCAGCTTGTAATGCATCTTAAGAAAATAAATTCGTAACAAAAAAGAAATGAGAGTACAATAACAACAATTGCTAAACGATAAAAGTAAAATCAGTCAGTAAATTAAATTTGTAGAACTAAAACAATCCCTGAAATATTGTCCATATGACTGCATAATTTTTACAGTTCCTAAGGTGCTATATGATTACAATCAGAACTGAACATTAATTGGTCACTAATGAATAGTAATAAATGTTGTGTTATATTTTGTAGTCATCAATGCTATACCAATTTTTCTATCAATAAAAGACATAATCCGGTTAAAGGAACAAACAACTCAAAATTTTAGCCGATTCTCCAGAGATTGATTATCATATGAGTTGTTCAGGCTTATAGATCTGGTCTGCTGAAGTGTCAGTGAGTACAAAACGTGAAATTACGGTTCTCTGAACATTGCTTTCAATTACTTGATACCACTGTACTCCTGTAAAATAACACACTAAACATGAATTAATCGTTATGCTTACGTCCTATGGCCCGTTCAGTATCATGTGACAAAATTTCCAATCAGAAAACTGACTTATATGACCTTGTCTGTGCGCTAAATCAACGATGAGTTAACCAGCACGAGCAGCCTAGTGTCAACTCTGGGTCCTTATTGGTCCTCCGAGATAGTAGCTTCTCGCCTAACCCGGCCCGTTCAGTCCAGAACACAAATACCAACCTCCGCTATATGAATCGTATATTTTAGACACACATGGTTGATATACAAGCGAACCGGACCGCACCAAACTATAAAATGGAAAATAATAATTATACGAGATCGAGCCAGAAGTGGTTGTGAATGTAGGAGACTGTAACTAATAGATTGGGAATAACTTAAGAATAGTCAATTGTATAACAGTAGCCAATAAGTCAAATGAAAGCTTATGATAAGAGGAATATAAATAAACATATAATATAATTACTTAATAGTTATCCAATAAGAATATAAACAGTCCATAAATATTTCCTAGCAGAAACCATTCATTTATTCTTCGTTCGGGTATAACAGTAACCCACTCCATATAAATAGGCGTAACAATATAATGTCACTAAAATGGGTTAAGCCAACATCAAGCAACACGTTTCGCTAATAAATCTGAATGATATACCTGCATGCCAGACAGTATTCTCATTCATTTTGAAAACAAACTTATCATTACTAATAAACATAGTAGCTTATGTGACAATTCAAGTAGCAAGTTCCTACCAGTAAGAATAATTTGGGCTAGTTAATGGTTGTAGTTGGAGTCTAAGTTGATTGTATAAAAAACTATACCTTAACTCACTATTCACTTGATTTGCATTCACTAGGCATTTCCAAATTTGCACCATAAAATAAAAGGATGTGAAGATCTCTATAAGTGGATGTTATCTGTTTTAGAATGTTATTATACAAAGACCTAATATTTATTTTATCTTATGTATTACAATATTAGTTAAATATAGTATATATCGTATTACAAAGGAATGATTCGTTTCAGAAAATCCCAAATTAATTAACTAAAGCATGAGAAAAATGAATAAATGTTTTGCTTTGAAGTTTGAAGGCTTAAAATTAAATGTTCATCGTCAATTAGTGTAAATTATCTGAACACGACAATTTCTTTATTAATTTGAAAGATTAAACTGTTCAATATGGCGTGAACTCAGTGAAATGACAAATCAGTAAACGAATATCTACAAACTTACATCAATTTCACTGTTAACAAGATATATGCTGAGCCATAAAGTGCATAATATTTAGGATAGTAGTGAACTCTCTCTCTCTCTACTATAATTATGAAATATATTTTAAAATGAGAATTAAAAGACCATAGATTAACAGTTAGCAAACCACTATTGTACCTTTACAGATTAATCTAACAACTTATGAAATCATTTAGGAGAAAATGAGTCCACTAAATAGATAATTAAAAACGTTACAAATCAATACTGTTATTTTTATCAGACAATTACTTAATGCAAAACTATAATAATAATAATAATGAGACGCTTTACATTTGTTGAACTAAAAAGTGAAAATCTACACGAAAAATCACTAATCCAATATATATGAAACGATTAAATAAATCGTTTCACGGTGATTGATCAACACTGGGAAAATATTACCGCATCAAAAAAAACATACCCATTTTACAATAAGTATCAAATAATTTATTATGATAGCACAGAAATATGAACTAGTGATTTTTGAGAAACAAACGACTCAGGAAGACAAAGAAATATCACGTTATTAGTTACTAAACTTTAAGATATAAGGCTTGGGGAATTATTTTCATCGTCCAGAAGTAAAAAGTTGATAAGTTTATAATTGATTAGCTTTAATGTCAACCATTATAATTAACTTCGCTATTGTGATCCTACACATCGAATACGCATAAGTATGACGCTTGTCACTTGGTAGATTAGAAAGTATTACGAGTCAACCGTTTAACACAAATATTTATCTCTGTCTACAGATGGATATCTCTCTTTTTTGGAAACACAAACCAGTGACTAAACGACCAACAGAAATTCTTGTCATTACGTAAAGTTTATGATAGGAAACTATGACCATCAGAATCACTGTCATTGTTTAAAAATGAATATTTCAGAACACTAACCCTAATCATCATACAAAACAAACATATTATAATATAAATATCCTTGAAATACAATATTATATATAATTACTTCGCTTACTTAAATAACAAACGTATTATAATACCAATATCCTTGAAATATAACATTATATATAATTACTTAGCTTAATTAAATCAATAAGAAAAACTGCCGGATACTGAATGAGTCAACTACCTAATAGTAAAATATGAAAATGAAGAAGAGTTGATAAACAGTAATTAAGTATAAGGAGCTTGAATAAATATCATATAAAAGCTTTTCACTAGAATGACACCAAACTAAATGATCACAACCCAAAACCACTAAAGCACCGGAAATAGGAGACGAATATATATTCTAGTTAAAAAGGATAGAAAAACAGGAGATAGAAAAAAGGTAGAAAAAACTATCCTAAACCTGATACTTATTTATAACAGTTGGTTAGCCTGAGCTTTAGAATAAACTGTGTATTATTCTAATAACATTTATATATGCATGATGCCTAGTTCATAGAATAATGTCGAGACCATATTCACTAATCGTTACCTTAAAAAATGATTCATTAGTAAGGTACATAATTGATAATAAAACACCGAAGTGAACCTTATTTCAATAAACATACATAATATATTCCATAAACTTTACTCATGAGAGACTGGGCTTGATCTGAATACTTGGAGAGAAGAAACACCTATATCCTATCAATTCATAAATGAATCGGTTCCATCTATAATCTTCATAGCTGTCATATACGTCTCAGCTGCAGCGCTTGTCAAGCACGAGGACTAGAGAAATAAAATATCAATTCAAGAAATAGTTTCCTAAATAAGTAAGATATAGGAAATTTATAATATTTTGAAATTTTACTACGTCTTACTGTACAGTAGAATTCTCAAAGGTCAAAAAACAAAACATGACAACTAAACCTTCACTAAATAATAAGTAATTAGATGGATACTTGAATTATTACATTAATAGGAATACACTTAGTTCAACAATTTCTTACGTCGTTACGAACATACATTTAGCCAATAATAAGAACAAGATGAAGAGTAATTCATCACGTTTTTATCAGGAACATTCTTAAAACTAACTGCAACCTTCGAGAAAAATACATCTCCAAGCTTAAAATCAAACATATATAAACTTATTCCAAGAACGAAAATAAAAAAACATCGATGTGTTGTATTTCTCAGAAATACTATGCACAAAACCTGGGTCGCCAGATACCAATCATGAATATAGCATATATGTACTATGAAAATGTTGATTTCACCTTAATAGGCACACATAAATTTAAACGAAAACTTTCTGTGTTTTTTTTAATATTTGGTAAATATTAGTTTAAATCACAAGCTTACATTTGGGATAAAGAGAAATATGTGTCAAACAGTCAGTACTAGAAACGGGAAAAGGATGGAAACTAAAAATAAACTATCAATAAGTTTAAACGATCTTCAATCACATAACAAACAATAATATTAGACCAAAGAAGTCGGAAAAAAGTAATTTATAAGTAATTTATTCAGATTAGAATGTATAAATGGCACAGAATAAACTCCTGGCTTATCAAATTAATAGCAATGAATCTTGCGTATTAAAATTTTCTGAGTTAAATTGCAAAAACATCGATTTTTTATCACCGAAAAGAAATTTGTTCTTTGAAATAACATGTTTAGGTTTTTGTACACCCTAAAATTAAGGCGTACACTAATATAGTAAGTGAATACATTAGAATACATTAATGAAAGCACTCAAAAACTCTTAACCCTTATAAACTATGAGCTTAAATACTATATTTTGGAACAATGTAACGCCCATAGATCACTAAATACATACTGAACTTTCAAGTAAACTTTAACTAATAAGCTTTAGTCGATTAAAAATGACCCAGGACACCATAGTGATTTAGTTGATTAAGAATGTCCATGAATTTCTCATTTTGCAGAATTTGTCACTAAATAATTCAAAGGAACTTCTAACACGGAGTGAACAACTTACCTGTTTTTTTTTCTTAGTAAGAAACAAAATCCATGTACTTGTGCTAGATATGTTCTGTTTAATTGTGATCTATTATGCTAAGGGAGATATATATCAGGTTATCAAACACTTTAATCTTAATAAAAACCAGTAAACAGATACAGATTCGTGAAATTGAGTGTGAGAACTGATAGTGATATCTAATTGCTCAAATTCAATGACATAAATGCCTAACACCTACAGTCTACTAAACATTTAGGTGATCAAAAAATAACGTATTTTTATGCATACACAACAAATAATTCAGTTCACAAATATTCACAAAACATGAATTCATAGTATGAAAATGTGTTCAGCAAAACTTAAAAAAGGATTGATTTGAAAAGATTCATAAAAATGTTTAAACTATTGAACACATTCTAACAAATGAAGAGAAAAAAATCTCATGAACAATTAATTATACATGGTATTCCTACAGTAAAATTGACGACTAAAAGAAAATTAGAATATACTATAGTAATATGAATAGATTATTAAGATCTAACTGAATAATCAGTAGAACAGAAAATAATACTAATATAACCAAACAATTATGAATTCAATCATAGTAACAAATCAAACATTTTTTTTACTTACCAGCTCGACCATCAAGTTCAGAAAGATTTTTATCTCTTTCTAATACTTTGTCAACATTAACTCTCATAATATCAACAACTTCATTAACTTGAGCTTGAGTTTGTTGTAGACGTTTATTTGTTTTAATTGGTGCTTTATCCGTCATAGCAGTAATATAAAGATCATATATATATTTATATTAATGTCAATATTAATAATCCAAATAAAAATTAATAAATTCAAATGTTCTCAAATAATTAATCTTGATTGTATATATCTAAATCTTTGCTTAACATGAGCCTGAGATAACAATATTGAAGGTTAGAAATATATTTAAATGTCTGTCTCACTATCCATGTTTTCTATTAGCCTGGTAAAGAAAATACGAAATGAAATAGATAATGGTTTAGTTTACTTATGAGAAATGAGCCAATAAAGATAATCTAAAATATAATTAACAACATATTTAGAGAATCAGAAAAACATGCATGTGAACATAAGAGAGCAGGTGATAAAATACATTAAAGAAACTCATCATCTATATTGTTTATCTGATCAATTTCACTATATTTCTCTTACTTCTTAATACAGTTAGTTTAGAAGCTTATTAGATTTAACAGTTTTTCCAGGAAGTTGTAATCCCAATCAAAAGCTAAATGAATTGATATTGTAAAACATATCACTAATTGACATACTATGAGTTGACAGTTAAACACATACGTGCACAAATATCCAGTAGTTCTGACTTTACAAAGAAAAAAGTCACCTAGTTTTTAGATAAGATCGATTTATTATGAATTTGTGAGTTTATTACTTTTCATCCAATTATATGCTGTTTCAAACGATGATAGTGAGTTATATATATATATATATATATATATATATATATATATATCCCTAATTGGATGCTGAAAAAAACATAAGAAAATTTTGAGTACTTGTAGCGAAGAGAACACGGGTGGGGACAATCGAATGTATTTTACGCAAAATTACAGGACATGTTAATAAAATCTAACAATCATAAAGTAAATACTTAATTTACAAAATGTTCATCAATTGTTTCAAAATGACTCAGACTTCATTGTTCTTGCATTTTCATACACATTGCATTCTGTTCCCATTCTTTACTGTTCGATCCTCTTGTCTCTCTGCTGCCAGACCTTCTGTTCACGACTAACATTATAATACTACTTATGCCAATATAAGTAGCACACATATACTCATCGCTGCCTATAGGTGAGATGTGGCACAAAACTGTAAAGCCTTTAAGAGCAGAACTACAGAAAGCAATATTTTGTCGAAACCAACATTTGTTCTAGAAACTGAGTTTATTGAACTATCGTTGTTAAAAGCAATATCTTACTTATGTAGGATGTAATCTAGGTTATTTGTGACTTGAATTGTTGTACAATTTTAGAGAACTCATGGAATAGGGCATTCTGGCTTTAAAAGTGTATGTACAAAATGTTTGAGACATTATGTGTTCAGAGACATGTTCGAAAAAAATCATGATCTAAGGTATCCGTTGTAGAGTAAAATTGTTGTACAAACTCCCTAAATAATAAATATGTGTATGGCTACGGGAAATGAAGCCATAACTCGCTGATCTGAGTACAAAGTTTACACCACCAAGTCATGTTACATTTATACTACATACAGTAGAATATTATACCAGAATACGAACTAATTAGCGCCAGTCTTGAACAGTAGTCCACAAACTTACATTTATTTACAACAACAGCAATCAGCCTTGTAGAAAGCCAGGTTTATCCATTTAAAACCTAAATTGAATGTATGTCGTTCCAAAATGGATAAATGTTGTCCGAAGCTGACCTTTTTCAGACACTTTCCCGCTTTTACTGCAATAAACATTGTATATTTATATTTTACGATATATGTGAGGCCCCTTTCAACTATCTCAATCAACAGAAACTTGTAACTTGACTAACTGACTTAGTCCTTCAGTAAACTCTATCCCCAACTTTAGTACTGTCGACTTGATTATTTTATCAACATCAAGAAGTGTGCCAAAAAAGCCGGATATCTCACATAATCTATTTTCGAAAGTAATTACAATCACTGAGTGGAACTAAGCGTACAGCTGCACTACGTGTAGATTTCTAGAAGCTGAAAATAGCATAACAATGTTAGAGATTCGGAATTTATTATCACAACATTCGAGTACATATTTTACTCTTTGTAATATATACATACGTGTTTTGTGGAAGTGTTTTTCAAATAAAATTAAATAATTTCATACGAATTTTCTCTTTCATAAAGTTTGACAAAGTAAGAACAACAGTCAAAATCCCATTCCATCTACAATCCAATGGTCAAGTGGAACGTTTTATTGAGACATATAAAAATGCTCTGCAAAAATTAAAAGTGGAGGGGACCATCAAAGAGATTATATAGAGGTTCTTGTTCACCTATCATTTTCCACCAATTCTGTCCGGCAGAGGATTTACTTAACAAAATACGAACACATTTCGATGCCATTGGTCTGACGCCAGTTGTCGAGTTTCACCGAAACGGATAGATGGAGAAGCAATTCAATCGACATCATTGAACACAAAGACGATTGTTCAATATAGATCAAAAAGCACTTGCTATGGACTATCGCAGCAAACATCTTACATGGATAGCTGGTCGAATAATGAAGAAAAAAGGAAGTGTGGTTTACGAGGTGTCAGTTGCCTCAAACGTTCTGGGTGCGTCATGCTAACCAACCAAAAGCAACTTCGATCACAAGCAATGGGAACCAATATAGAGTACCTCCTGATGTTCTGCTGGACACCTTTGAAATCGGAACCTTTGGAACAGACAGGTCAGTCTCTGTGGAAGCAAAGAGCAATATCACCACTTTATTGCCTAGAAGGTAGACAAATAGGAAGCACAGACCAGTCACACGGTTGCAAACGGACCCTAACACCAGACCTTATGAATCTGCTCAAATGGGAGGTGTTTGCGGGATACGCATTGGATTCTGTTGAGACACATTGATTAGCCATTTTTTAGCCAATCGATGCTAAGATACCTCCCCATGAGGCCGTAAACCAGAAATGCTTGATAGACCAAATATTTACCCTAAACCCTCGCTAATATCCATTCGTGATGGAAGCTCCAACCCGAACTCCATTAAATAAAATGATTTACGTGAGAAGATTCGTTATAGATGTCGAAATTTGGTCACTTCAGTGGAGAGACTAATTTATGGACGAAACGCTCAGACTTAAGATAGTGAGATAGGGACTAGCCCCTTGCATGCAGTACTTAAGTTTAGGACGCAAGAACACTGTACGCAAAGTCAGAAAGGTTTTGGCGTCGACATGAATAAAGGCCCTACGTATTGACGATAAAGTTTTAGAACCTTTGGCGGCTTATTACACGGCAATGTGCAGTAGTCTTTAGGTTTTGGCTAACGATGACTTCTAGGTCATTGAGTGTCTGGACAACAGATAGCTCAGTGTTGTCATGTATGCATCTGTACCTTGATGACCGATATGCATCAAAACAGCTAGTTGTGCGGAACTCTGTCGAAAACTATGCTGAAGTCAATATTAGCTACGCCTATAGGTAACTTTTGGTCTTTAAGAGAGCACTAGCTTTCGCGAGCCACTAGTAAGTTAGTAAGACAGGAATAACCTATTCTAAAGCCATGATGCTTTTCCAAAAAGATCCTATTCTCATCGAGATATTTAAACAGCTCCTCCCTAATAATCTTTTGTAAGATTTTACGCCCACACTAGTTAGACTAACGAGTAGAAAATTCTCACATTTATGTTTCGTACCTGTTTTAAGACAGGACTGAGTACGGCATCCTTTCGAACTTTTGGTAAACGACCCTCGAACAGCCTACCTCAATAAAAAAAACAATTGAGCAAATTTGGAATTGAATAAACGTAGTACATCCGAGTAACCTCACAACGTCAAGAAATTGGGTAAGAAACCAAAGCCGACGGTTTTTCAAAATTTTACTTTTTATTGAAAAGGAAGAATGTATTTGTAGATCAATAACATAATCGATCATTTGTTTGATTATATTTTACTTGAAAAAGCTTGGACCAGTATTGCCAGGCGAAACGTTGAATCTAGTCCAAATTCTTTCGCTGAGATTTTACAAATACATTTTTCCTCTTTAATTACTCAAATTATCTCGACGCCCAAACGCTGTGAAACTATTCGTTCAAATTTAGACGAAAGTTTTTACTTTTACATTCTATTGTTGAGATCTCATGCCCTATTAAAATAGGACGTTAAATCAAGATGAACGAATCACTGTGATGCTTTATAAATGAAGCGAGAAGCTTATAACAAGTTGGAAAAAACAGTCTGTCCAAGAAGGAACATCGAGAAGCAAACCGATGTAAGCACCTCAAAAAAAGAAGTACCGTAACAGTCAAAAACTCCAACCCTTGCAATCTATTTTCAATATCCATAGGATATGGATACTGAACGACATAATCTTCCCTCTATGTCTTAAAAAATTGTAAAGCCTCTAATGTTCGACCCCATACATGTCTATCTATTATCCTTAAACTTCTTTTCAACTCAGTAGCACGGTTTCAGAAAAGTCACTCATGTATAACCAACCTGCTGACGGCGGTGGACAGAAAGACAACCATCCTTCATCGCAAGGGGAAGGTTGACGTCATTTATCTTGACTTCTCAAAAGCTTTTAATAGGGTCATTCACATCCATCTTATCAATAATCTCAAACTATTAAGTGTCAAATAACCTTAATCTGATTGGCTCACCTAATATCTACAAAATCGACATTTTAAGGTCAGCGTTAACTTCAAATTCTCTCGGTCGATGGAGTGTTACAGTGGGATCTCACGAGGTTCACTACTAGGGCCTCTTCCTTTCTTCATTTATATGAACGATCTTCAACAGCAGGTGACGTCAGATTTATTACTTTCGCTGGTGACGTGCAACTCTAGAGTGACGTACACATCCAAGAGGATAAACTGGCACTTCAGGGCGATCTGAATGGACTTAAATGTTGGGCAGATGACAACAAGCCTAACTTTAACACTCCAAGGTTTAAACGAGTCCATCTGTGACATGCTGAGGACTACAGCTACAACTAAAGTAACTCCCCTCTAGAGGTGTCTTTAGTTGAAAAACGATCTAAGAGTGTTGGTACCCTATGATTTAAAGTCT